ATACAAAGATTGTGTTTGTGTTGTTTCAGGGTCCCTGGACTTAGAAAGACAGTTACTGCACCACCTGATGACTTTATTTTGATCCATCCAAAAATGTTCATCTCACAGTGTCTTCGTGTTAACAAGAATATTTTATATGTAGATAGTCTAAAATGCAGTATATTTGGGTTTTTATTTCTCTTTCATCCACACTCAATGGTTTTGACTGTGTGTTTCTTGTTATCTCTGACAGCTGGTCGATTACGCCAAAAAAGGAGACACTGATGAGAAGGCGATGAAAATGGCCAGTTTCTGGCTGACGGTACGTTTCAGCAGCACCTCTCATCTTTATGATGTTACAAGCTGCGTCACTCTAAACGTAAAACACTTAATGTGAACTTGTTGTTTAGTATAACTGTGCTTTTTACCATCAGGAAAAGGATCTCGTCCCAAAGCTCTTCAAGGTCCTCGCTCCACGGTTCGAGAATCAGACGCAAGGCTACACACGGATGGCACGCCTCCCCAGCAGACAGAACCTGGACAAAGCTAAGATGGCCGTCTTGGAGTACAAAGGCAACCCCTTCCCGCCGCTTTATCCTGTGAGAAAAGACAATGAACTGACACTCATCAACCAGCTGCTCAAAGGCTACAGAGAGGAGAGGGCACAGCAGTTAGCTGAGAAGGCTTGATTAAAACCAACCTGGTGTTGGATCAGAGATGATGGTCGCTGAAGGGTGATGGTGGAAATGCTTCTGAGGAGTCACCTGCACATGCTGCAGGTCATGGCTGAAAGACACTGATTCATTTCTTCACCTAAAAACAATTCAGATGTCCAGTGTCGACTAAAGCCAAGAATGTTTCTGTAAAAGGACGTTTATGACTGATTGTGTATTAATAAAATATTATTTCTTAACAAAAGGACAAGGTTTTCATTTTGTTTCTTTGGCCAACAAAACAGCAGCACACAAGGAAAAATGTTTTCCTGGTACAGATTAAAGGGCTGCTTGAGTGATTTACAGTAGTACTGCGGTTTGATTAAGTCAGGGGACTTGTGAGACAGATTAAAAACAAAAAAAATGGTCAAAAATATGAAGCAGCAGAGGAAGAGATATGACTGGTCAAGCTCCAAAAACACTGGATCCTACATTTCCCATAATGCAACTAGATAGCATGTTTCATGTTTTCTATATACCGACTTAGTTCAGAAAAAAAAACCTCAATTTAATTTGGTTGAAACTGCAAAAACTATTTATGAAAATACAATGTCAGCAGTAAAAAAGGTCTTATGTTGTACCATATTGTAGTGTTTTTGTTACTTCATCATGGTTTGTTTTTGTTTCGTTTTTTCAAAAAACAAAAGCTTAAGTCAGACGGTATTTAGACAGACAGACCGATAGATACTTAATCCCAAGGGAACTTAAGGCACCCAGTAGCTTTTTATACAACACAATGCATACAAAGACACAGACACATATCCTGATAAAAAACAAGGTAAAAACAATAAAAACACAGCAGTGAAATGATCGTCTAGTCCCAGGACTACAACAGAGAGCTGTTACACAGTAGATATGCTTATGATGTTAGTACAAATTTGTGGTCCACTGCAGGAATTTCAATGTAAGCTGATTAAAGTGTAAGAGCAGTGCAGAAGTAATTAATACTTTGCTATGGCTGAGTGCACTTGTGGATATTTTCTTTTTTGTAGAGGGTGCTCCAAAGTAAAAAGTAAAGACTGTATTAAACAAGGAATGCTTGGAAATATAAAATATAAAAATCACAGAGGGTTAAATATGAAATGCTAACAGAGGGTGAATATCTAAATTAATACAAATGCAAACAGGGTGTACATAGGATAATGTAAATGCCAATGTTAGGAGGTTAACATATTTACATATTGTTGGACTCCTAGAAATCTCAATATTACTTTAGGCCTTTGGGCTACGGACGTTTTGAAGGCCCCTCCCTCCCTTCACGATATGTCATGGAAAAATTAATTCAGAGCCCTGGTCAATGGACAGCGACAAATGGGAAATTGAGTGCCCTTCTAATCAGCAATATGAAACTCATCTATACAAGACAATAAGTCAAGACAAAGCAAAGTTATCAGTTGATTTGATTATATATATATATATATATATATATATATATATACACATATATATATATATATATGCTGTTGTCTTACCTGCAGAGGTGCTGTCTCCTGGTCTTCTTCACCATGAACTTCTTGGTATCTACATAGCTGATGCTATATATATGCTATATATGCTATGCTATATATATGTTGTTTAACACTACAGCATACTGATAGTCAAAGCTATGTACAAGAAATCTGATTTCATTCAACATTTTCTTATGCTTATGTTGCATGAGCCCCCTGGTACTTGGTCAGAGGCCTGGGGCCCGGGACTGGTAAGTCCGTACATTAAAGAAATACTTCAATCGCAAAATGACCATTTGTTTATCAATTACTAACCAGGTGTTACCTTGAATTTGTGAAGAAAACTTTGTTTTTCTCGTATGCCTCCACGATGGACGGAGAATCCAAAAAAGTCTTTTTTCTTTTTTGCATTTTTGCTAAAACGTTACAAAGATTTTCACATTAAAATATTTAAACTAAACCTCAAGCAAAATTGTTTAAGACAAAGAACAAATTGGGGGCAAAGAATCACCAATAAAATGCAGCTGAGAGTCGGGTCATTACTTTGTTTACAGTGATCACAGAAACATAAAAGCTGGAATAAATAAATGTTACCAAATGTAAAGTGGAGGACTGATATTTATTAAACAACAGCATATCTATCTGTTCTCACCTGTGATTGCTATATGAGCTTCAATGATAAGATTAGTTGACTAGATCAAATTATTATGATCCCTTTAGGAAATTTGGCGTAATTTATCGAAGCTAAAGCCGAACTATAGGCTACAGATCAGTATTAAAGTGAACCACCACATCACTGCTGATTGCCACAGAAGACAAAGTATATAAAGGGAAACTTTGCTGATATTGAACCAGCTGTGTGGCATCACAGTGTGTGCAGATGAACAGGGTTTGGCTTTTCCCCTGTGACGCTGCCAGCACCTGGATCTCTGCCGCTGGACAGGCAAGATCTCCAGAGGAAGTCAAACAACATTCATCTGCACACAATGTGATGACACACAGCTGGTTCAATATCAGTAAAATGTTTCCCTGCTTCCCTTCAGTGTTACAATCATTAAAAAGCAAAAGCAGCATGTGTATACATTCAGTAGGCTATATCTTCAGTAGCTATCTAGCTAACCCTACACTTTCCAGGGTTTGATTTTGGTTCTGGAACAGGGAAGAAATGTATATCTTTTTCCAACCTCTCCAGGTAACAAGTATCATTAATACAAGATGTGCCCCAGGCACAACATTTAGCTTCAAATCCACAAAACCAGCCTGAAAATGAAGGAAATCTGAAACAAATGGAGCACAGCTGTGTTGTTGCGGGACCCTGGTCAGAACCGGCCTGATGCTATGTTATGATTGGCCAGTCTGCGTCCAGAGGCGGGACTTAGCGAAGGGTCGATTACTTCAGTTAGTTAGAGAAACACGTGAGTAATTTACATGGTCGTTCTGTGGGTAAAATATTTTTTATGGTGCCTATGGCTGGATTGATGTAGAGAGATGCAAAAGAATTAGTGGACAAAATATTTCACCAGTTCATCACAAAATAACTGCTGAACTGAACACCACAAATACTGTCTGAATTTCTCCTTTAAATTCTGTGGTGGTGATTAGCCTGAAAGCCATTTACAAATTTAGTCCCTTCCTGGAGAACAAGCAGAGACAGGCTGAGTTTGTTGTGACTCTGCACCTCACAGAGCAGGATACTGGCAGGGACTGTGAAATAATTAGGCTAGCCTACATCAGATTGTGACCAGCCTGGAGTCTGTCCCTGTGGTGTTTTACTTTAATGGAGTCTTGTAATGAGAACAGATTCTAAATATGATTTACGGATATTAGATCGACTCCTTTGGACACACGCCCTTGTCCTAACTGGAACACAGACGCTCTGGCTTATTATCACCGCAGCCAAATAACACACACACCCAGACAAGGCCTCTAATAAAATCATATTTTTTATTATTTTGGCAAAAAGTGTATATGTACAGCATATTTAGAATCGTCATTTGACACCATTAAAATGCATTTGAACAGTGCTTCAGTGATGTGCTCTTAACCAGATCGCTCTGAGTAGCCTAAAAGCTGTGCTGTTTTCTGTCATGCATACATAATCTCTTTTCGTCAAGTTCTCTTCTCTAAAGTGTCTCGGTCCTGTAATCGTATGTCAGTATGCACAGGGTTGAAGCAGTGATACAGTAATCAGTATGCCTGTCTGTTAGTCGAGTCAACCAGTGTCTATTCCGTCAAAGTCATGGCAACCGTAACAATAGGCAACAGCAGACAAAATGGCAGACGTGCCAAATATAAACCGGACACAATCAGAAATAACGACTAGTACTCTAATTCAAGTATCATTCTGTTTCACAGACTACGTTACACCTTTGACTACACTCGTACAAGTTACACACCACAGTCCTAACATCCTACAGTACTCCATTACAGCGAGATTGCCATTGATAAATCTGTGGAATATTAACTGAGTACCATCAGTAATCAGAAATCAACGAATGCTCCAGATAAATTTGTTAGCGTCCTTTCACATATTTTCTGAATAGCAGGAAGCCGGTGGTCAACTTCAGTGACAATCGTTCACGACTTATCAACTTCAGCAATCCAGTGTTAAATTACATTGACTGAGCGTGATACGTTCCATAAAATGTCCGCACAGTCGACGACATTTTTCAGACTGTATTTACAGGTGTATGTATCTGGGATACTACTCAAAGTGGTGTGAATACAGGTTTTCGAAGCAGTCGTATAAGGTGACATCATCACGAATAAACAGACTAAGACCAGGAACATTAAAGTGCTCCATGCAGGACAGACAAAATGTACAAGTTGTGTTGCCGTTTTCACAGTTCATCTGCAACGCTTTTTTTTTTTTTTTTTAAATTGTCGTAGCTTAATGTTAGGGGATACAAAACTAGTAATATTTGTTTCGCTTTTTGCAAGGTTCTAGTGAGATAAAGCCAATGTATATCCATGTTTCAGGTACCAGACAAGGGTGAAGATGAAGTTACTTGTATTTTTTAAAAAAGGCAACCTTCCCCACAGGCTTTTAAATCATGAATGTGTCGCGGAGAGAAAAGATAATTCGACAAAAGGTGTACTGTAGTGTTCCAGTAACTTGAAAATCACCCCGGTCCTTGTGCTGTATTGCATCAGTACATTCACCAACGTCTACATACACAGAAATGACATTTTTGAGCAGGCATATTCTGCACTCTGGTGTAAAGTCAACTAAAATCGACACAGTATAATACTGATTTTATGTTGTGTTTCAGACAGCCCAAGGTTTGGGTCCAACAGAATTTATCCGGTTAAAAATATACTAAAGCCTATTGTATGTATTTACAAAAGTATAGATTTCAATACACACAATAAGCAAATATCGTATGGTCACATGGAGTTACATATATCAGCTTCTTGGACGGGAAATACGATACAAACATGCGTGTTTTTACGAGTACCTAGAAGTGCCCACAGTAAACGTGACATTTTACATTTACACATCAGCATATCAATCCAGAATAACCAGCTGCAATGAAGGCATATAAGAATATAAATTAACCCAACAAACTCCATAGAATATTTATGCTTTATCAAAATGTGTCAAACATAAAAAAAAGTCCTTTATTCCTAACATGACTTGAATAAATGTAATGGCATGAGTTTTTTTTTCTGATGGTCACAGCACCAACTGGAATTTAATGATGTGGAAAAAAACATGAAAACAAATTTCCTTTTTTTCTTCTTTTTTTTTTAAAATAAAACTATATAGAGTGGTAGCTCTCTCTCCAGTTTTAGCTATTTACAAACTCTTCCAGGCACACCATCAATGCCTCATGAATTTTTGAATAGCAATATTTCAAGAATTTTGTTCACTTCCGCATCGTGCACAGCTATCATCCTATTGCTCTGGCTACATCCACTTTGTCATCTTTCTCCCTGTGTGCCTTTTACTGGTCAACATCAAATATTTATTGCTTCTTTATTCTTTAACAAGCTCAGCACTTCTATCTCACAGCCATCCACCCCCCCTCACTCACTCTTCCATTCCATTTACAGGTGAAAAGGGACCGTTTAGGGATTCTGATGATTTCTCTTCTTTGTCCGTCCAAACTTTTTTTTGGCTGTTTTTAAAACAGTAACACCTCCATTTCCACTCTGACTCTTTTACTGTGTATTGTCATTCTGTCCATACCCCCCCTCTCCCTCTGTCTTGCCTTCTGTCCTGCCTCACGCCTTCGTTCCGAACCCTCCTCCTCCTCCGCCCTGCATGCTGAAGTACTCTGTGAAGGAAGGGAGCCGGGGTGGCAGCGGGGGCGAGCGTGCAGCAGGGCGTGGGGGTATTGGAGGCGGAGGTGGGGGCAGTATCGCCGTAAGGTCGGCAGCGGTGGTTATGATCTTCTGCTCACTGTTCCTCGGCACCTCGGGTCCTTTACGGGCCACCGTCTCCTCCACTGTCTTCACGGGGTCCTGGAAGGAAGGTGGGGATGGGTTTACACCTTTGACCTGCTCTGATCCTCTGGATGTAGGTTACTGTGCAATGTGTAATGTGGACCTGGTCGACTCTGTGTCAGAGACACCACACTATACATCACATTCTGACAGCTTCCTCGAGAGCTCAGCAGCACTGTGGTGGTTATATAGGTCAAGGTAAATTACACCTGTACTGGGTTTCCTGACCTCCAGTGCAGTTACATTACTCTCCACACACTGACCCTGCTGGGGCAGAGGTCAGCAACCTTTAATGTCAAGAGATCAGAGAGTATTTGAGTCTTATAATGAAGATAACAGCCTATTGTGTCTAAAATAGGCTATCAACACTGCTGATAGGTCTGAATGAACATTCATTAATATTTTTTTTTAATTATTTTATTTTATTATTTTATTTTATTTTACTTGATTTTATTATTTTATTTTATTTTATTTTATTTGGCAAGGGTTGGTGGTGAAAGCAACAAAAAACCTAAACTCTCCACCCATCACTAAATTCTCTACTTTTGAGATTGTGTGGGGGCCAGGATGCAAATCACTAGTATATATTTTGGGAGTGCCCTGTCATACAACAGTTTTGGTCTGAGAGGCATTTTTAACATAAAAATACCTTTCCTATCCAATACTATTATTTTAGGAAAAGTTGACTTTCAACCTGGACACTTTAATGAATACTTATCTAGTGTTTTGATCCAGTGTTTATGATGGTGAGAACACATCACAAGACACTGGCTGCTTTGAACTGGAGTTCATACTTCAGTTTTATATTTGTTAATCATCTTGTGATTTAATATTCTTTTTAAATCTAATGTGTGTATCAACGGCTTTCATTTCTGTTTCTAACCCATTCCACAAATTTACTTCACATACTGAAACACATCTTTGATTTACATTCGTTCTGAGCTTCGTTTTTGTGAACAGACAGTTCCATCTTAGTTCATACTGACATTCTCTTATCAATCAATATCAATATCACAATATGGCAAACATATGCAAAATATAGCTGCTAATAATGATTATTTTCCATTATCAATATGTCAACTGTTTGGTCTATAAACGATCAGAAACACTGAAAAATCCCCCAGAGCTCAAGGTCACATAATGAAATGTCTTGTTCTGTCTGGCCAACAGTCCGAAACTCAAACATATTAAAGTTAGTTTAACATATGACAAGAAAAAGCAGCAATTATTTTTAATGTTAAAGCTGAAACTATGAAATATTTTCGCATTTTGTTCTGAAAATGACTTTAATGATCTACAGACTATCTAAATAATAAATGCAATTAACTGTTTTCCACTGTAATGCCTTACAGTGTATAGGACCAACATTATAGTAAATCCTTTTGTTTGTTTGTTTTTTGTCAATTTCATCTTTATTTAAATAATTTTGGTAAAAGTGACATGTCAGTTAAATACCAGGTAAATGCACATTTTTACAGCCTTAAGGATTACTGTATCTATTGATTATTATTCCAGTCCAGTGTCGTCTTTTTGAGTCTTGTATAGAGCCCGTATTTCCCATTTCCTTTCTAATTGTGCTTCTTGTAGTCTCAGTATGTGTCAATTTCTCCATTAAAGAGATTTTCTCCACAATTGTGAGCCACTGGCCCTTCCTTGGTGGTGTTTCTTTTCCCCAGTTCCAGTAACAACGTGCTATGATTAGTAATTTGGCAGCAGAAAATGCTACAAATCTAAAATGATAAGATCCCTTCTGAGGTTTAATAATTGAGTTATCGCCCAGCTCTTCCTCCACAAAATATTAGAAAGATCTTCTGATTGATTTGGATTGTTCTACCCAATCTCACTTGTCTTTATTGTCCTTTGATTCTTTGTTTTTAGACACAGTATTTAGCATTTTTAATGAGCTGCAGCCTCTGTATGGATCATTAGGCATTCTTACAACCTGCCGTTAAAGAATTAAGCCCCAACAACTTAAATGTTTTTATACTAAAACCAGTATTTTATGAGTAAAAAGAAAAAAAAATCTTGTGTTACATTTGTTTTTCAGTCTGGCTTCTGACTACATTAAAGCGCAGAAACTACTGTGATCACCTCAACATTCACCCTCCAGGCTGAATACTACAAAACAATAACACTGAATACTGTTTAAAGCTACAACAATCAGATTTACTCTCTTTACCAAACGACCCTGGTCTAATAAGCTCACTGTGTCAATGCAAGTAATCGCATGCACCTCCATCTCCTTCACTTAAATAAAGACAAGACTGAGTGCATTTTATTTGGAAACAAAGGAGGAGAGATTCTCATTACGCACATCTGATACCAGGGTTATAAAGACGAAAGGCCAAGTTGAAATCGTGGCGTTTTACAGTGCTTAGATTTCCAGCAGCAACACTTTGCATTGTCTTTTCAGGGTCTTCCAATTAGATGTCTGTGGATAATGCAGGAGCTCTGGTGCTAGATTTCTAACGAGAACCAGGAGAGGTAAGCACATTAAGCCTCTTTGCACTGGCTTCCAGGAAGTCGGACAATTAATTTAATTCGGCGGTGGTACTAAAACACTTAATGGCTTACATCAGAACCGACTTCATTCATTCTGAGACACTTTCAAATGTAAATTAAAGAGTTGCTTGTTTTCTCTGGTGCATTTTGAGCTACTTTTTACTGCCATGTAACTTTATTAATTATAATTATCTGTAAGTTCTGATACCTTTTTATACAATGAGCATTTGAAATGTGCCCGTCCTTGTCATAGTGTCACCTATCATGTATTTTGTTGCTCCTTTGTGTTGTATTACTGTGTTGTATCAGTGGAGCTGAAGATTCAGAGCTTTTCCTCCGTCACTCATCTATGTGCATTTATGAAAAACCCAAAAACTTCTCCAAGCCAGAGAATTCATCACCACAAACACGACACCTTAATTTGGTCTTGTCAAAGTTTCTACTTAATCATTATTTCCCTGTGCCCAAGTGTTTTCATATCAGCGCGTGTGCTACGTTACGCTGCGCTTACTGTCATTCACCTGGCGCCCACAGGAGAAGACGCCAGCTTCCGCCAAGAAATAATCCTCAAAAACAAGCCCTCCTACAAACTGCATTGTTACACTGATGCCTTCTAATTTGAGGCGTCTTTGTTAGATGAGACAGCAGTTAATTTCAAGGTAGGTTTGACACAGTAATGTTTGCATTTTTAAAAGCATCAAAAAATGAGCTTGGCTTAGATGAATCTAATTACACATAGCGAGTGCTGCAGAATGAGTGGGAGCTGTTTAAACTGGATACAGATGCACACATACAGTCAGGTCCATAATTATTTGGACAATGATACAGTTGTCGTCATTTTGGCTCTGTACACCACCACAATGGGTTTTAAATGAAACAATGAATACGTGCTTAAAGTGCAGACTCTCAGCTTTCATTTAAGGCTTTTTTTCAAAAATGTAGTATGAACCATGTAGGAATGACAACCATTTCTTCACACAGTCCCCCGACTTTAAGGGCTCATAAGTATTTGGACAAACTAACATAATCATCAATTAAACAGTCAGTTTTAATACTTGGTTGCAAATCCTTTACAGTCAATGACTGCCTGAAGTGTTGGACACATAGGCATCATCAGATGCTGGGTTTCTTCCCTGGTGATGCTCTGCCAGCCCTTTACTGCAGCCGTCTGCACTTCCTGCTTGTGTTTTGGGTGTTTTGCCCTCAGTTTTGGCTTCAGCAAGAGAAACGCATGCTCAATTGGATTCAGGTCAGATGATATGACTTGGCCATTGCAGAACATTCCACTTCTTTGCCTTAAAAATGTCTTTGGTTGCTTTTGCAGTATGCTTCAGGTCAATGTCCATCTGCACTGTGAAGCATCGTCCAATGAGTTATGAAGCATTTAGTTGAATCTGAGCAGATAATGTAGCCCCAAACACTTCAGCTTTCATCCTGCTGCTCTTGTCAGCAAAACAGGACTTCACTAGAATAAATACAGAGGTTTTATCACAAGATGCAAAGCATTGGTTAGCCTTAAAAATGGAAGGCCAGATTAGAGTTTGTCAAAAACCATCTAAAAAGCCTGTACAGTTGTGGAACAGCATACTATGGTCAGATAAAACAAAGATCAACTACCAGAATGATGGGAAGACAAGAGAAGGAAGAAGGGAAGGAACTGCTCATGATCCAAAGCACACCACCTCATCAGTGAAGCATGGTGGAGGTACTGTTATGTCATGGCCATGTATGGCTGCCAGTGGAACTGGTTCTCTTGTATTTATTGATGATGTGACTGCTGACAAGAGCAGCAGGATGAAAGCTGAAGTGTTTGGGGCTACATTATCTGCTCAGATTCAACCAAATGCTTCAAAACCCATTGGACGATGCTTCACAGTGCAGTTGGACAATGACCTGAAGCATACTGCAAAAGCAACCAAAGACATTTTTAAGGCAAAGAAGTGGAATGTTCTGCAATGGCCAAGTCATATCATCTGACCTGAATCCAATTGAGCATGCGTTTCTCTTGCTGAAGCCAAAACTGAGGGCAAAACACCCAAAACACAAGCAGGAAGTGCAGACAGCTGCAGTAAAGGGCTGGCAGAGCATCACCAGGGAAGAAACCCAGCATCTGATGATGCCTATGTGTCCAACACTTCAGGCAGTCATTGACTGTAAAGGATTTGCAACCAAGTATTAAAACTGACTGTTTAATTGATGATTATGTTAGTTTGTCCAAATACTTATGAGCCCTTAAAGTCGGGGGACTGTGTGAAGAAATGGTTGTAATTCCTACACGGTTCATACTACATTTTTGAAAAAAAAGCCTTAAATGAAAGCTGAGAGTCTGCACTTTAAGCAGGTATTCATTGTTTCATTTAAAACCCATTGTGGTGGTGTACAGAGCCAAAATGATGACAACTGTATCATTGTCCAAATAATTATGGACCTGACTGTATAGAACACACCTACATTTCTCATTTACCTTTGACCTTTCTACGTCTCCATATACTGCACTTTTTCATGAATGGGGCAGATTTAATAAATAACAATACTAGTTTACACACGAATTCTGCTTCGACAACTTCTATCCAGGACATTAAGCATGCATACACAAAGGTATTAAGTTTGACTCACTGATTGGATGGAGAAGAGTTCAGTAAAGTTGGGTTGAGAGTCTCCCAGGAAGGAGCCGTTACCATAGGCATGATGGGGGAAACTCTCCGCCCCCTCGCCTGCTTTCGGACTGGACAGCAGGATCCCGATCTGGGACGTCCGAACGTGATATGGGAAGTTCTTATTGGCTGCCGAGGGTCGTGTGATAACCTACGGGACAAAAGGATGAAAAGATTGCTGTTGCTCCGATGTTAGGAACAGAGAATAATAAGAAGTAAGAATAAGAGTATGAAATAAAAGTGTGTAAATATAAAGCAATAAATAAAGTAGAAATGAAATGTGCATTAAAATAAAATAAAATGTGCATTATGCTACTGTGTTTAACACTAGTACTTAAAGATTAAAATATTAAAATAAAATATATATCATCATGATGATGAGGCTGTAAGTTTGAAAATGTAACTACAGTAGAATAAAACAACCATAGAATTAGAGTAAACATAAGGAATATGTACAGTTATGTGCAGTGTATGTCAAATTAATACATACATTCGAGAGGTATATAATCTACGATGTCTGGTTCCTGCCTCAGACCTCAGACCTCAGTTATGTATATGTGTTAGAGATGGGAATGGAGAACAAGCTCCAGTTGAGAACCAGTTCCAAATTGTTGGATCAATCAGAACTGTATGACCCCAAGTTTGTCCGTTCCTTATATCGATGCTGGCAGGTTTTTCTCTCAAGTGTCTGCGCTTCTTAAAACTCGCAACAACACACAGTCATGGCAGAGAGGAAGAATGGCATTATTTCATGAAGAATGATAACAATAGTGCTGCTTACAATGTCCGTAACATGATAATTATAAGTCAGGATGAAACACCAGCAACGTGCAGAATCATCTTTCTACACAACTCTGCACAAAAGCCATGTGCACACTTTTTTCCACAAGACCAGGTGTACACATGGTTTTACCTGAGATAGCTGTGAGTGATGGCTTTCTGCAAAATTTTAATCAAAGGCACATTTATAAAGTTGTTCTTAAATTATTTATGAGTCATACATTTCACCATTATTTCTATTCATCTCCCTTTGAGTGGTCGTTTAATTTTATCCTGTAGAGCACTTTGTAAAGTCAGTTTCCACATGAGCCCTATGAATGAATCATTGATCATCCTTCTGATGTTTAATAATAATTGTGATTGACATTATACCACCATGATGGTTTGGACAAATGTTAAAAATAGTGGCAAGGACACTAGAGATATCTACAGCCATGTGTAATGGCAGCTGCTCTGGCATTGTTGGACAACCTCGGGGATGTAACACAGTCGGTGAAATTGCTCTTCCTCACCGTATTTCTCATTGACAGGTCTAATGAGTGGTAGAAGGGCACAAGTATCAATATGCAAACACATGTTGAGGGGCGTTTTTACATCCATTTATGATGAACTATGGGTGCACCACAATGACTGAGATTTATAGAACTGAATCACGTGTACGCACGGCTTTATGACACTGCCAAAAAGAATGTGTGAGTACATTTCTGTCATAGTGCGTACACACAAAGTTTTAGTCATGAAACTACAGAGTTTTATGCCCCAGGAATGCCATGTGTTTCACTCTACACACAAGTGCCAACGCTTCCCAACTGAGCAAAAGTAAATATCCTGTTTTATAATAAAGCTGAAAACCTGTCTAGGCTGCTTTTTTTCCATACAGAAAAATGAACAGGGATCAATAAGCAGGGTGTCCAAACCTTTTTAAAGGAGGGCCAGATAAGATAATGTGAAAATACCTGGAAGCCAGCTGCTTCTTGCATCACATGAGTTACAAAAAAATAAAATGATGATAATAAAAAATAAGAAACATACAAATGACACAAACACCGCTATTCCATCTTTCAGGGTGCTTTCAGACCTAGAGTTGTCTTGCTTTGGTCCGAATCAGGGACTAATTTTGTTACAAAGTTGCATAATTGCCTAGAGTTGATTCGTGTTCTCACGGCAGCATTTACAAGCGGACCAGATTAAATGCCTTGTGCGAGAAAGCTTTTCTTGATTGGTCAGAATTTCCATGCAGGAAAAATCCAGGAAGTAAACCAAACGTTGAAGAAGAGCACACTTGCAAGATAAATGTGACACTTTCTAATGTCACAATGGAGGGACAACTACGCAGGTTGATTTTAGCGCTGCTCATCGTGGACTATATTGCTGTCATTGTTCATTTTAGTCAAACCATACAGTTTGAAAACGAGGCGCGGCTCCAACTAGAAAACAATGTTTTGATGCATTGGATTTGCTGAATGTGCATATTAAGGCAGTACAGGAGGAGGTGCACATTAATAATCCTCCAGGACTGTAACATGCTCATGTTTAACCCAAACAATGTGTCATGTGAATGCAGTTGGTTCAGATCAAGGTTGGAACACGTTCTCATCACAAATGAACCGAAACAAAGTTCGTTTGCAAATGGACCAAGACCACCTCTTCAAGAAGGTCTCAGTGTGGTTGTTGTGGTGCGCACCCGAGTGTGATTGCTGTGTTCACACCTGCCCAAACGAACCACACTCAGAGGGCAAACAAAGTTGAGTTCGACTGAACCGAACCAAACAGGGCAGGTGTGAAAGCACCCTCAGTGAAAAGGTATTTGTGCCACTCTGAAAGCAGCAGCCCTCGCTGTCGACTTTACGCTTCTTTGTTGTGGTCGCGTCTGCTAACGAGCAGGAAGTGTCTGCTGCTAGGTTACTGTACATTTGCTTGTTCACTGTCAATTTATGAAAACACATCACGTCCACCTGCGTAGTTCCTTTTTGGTGCAGGCCTACAGACCGTCTGATACTGCTGCCATCATGAGATGAACAGAAAAAATGTGAAGTGAACTTCCTTGATTAACCAATATTGTGTGGCTGTCCACATATAGTATATTTTGAAAGACATGCTGTGGGCCATTCCTAATCAGTCCGTGGTCCACAACTGGCCCCAGGGCTGGCTGTAAGGTAAGGCAATTAAAGAATCCATAAGCAGTCAGACTGATGAGCAGAATTGATAATGTCACTGGTGTCAATACAATCTTATCAATTCCCATCCCTAATGTGTGGTTTTTATCTTGTGTGTTTCGCCTTGTGTTCTTGTTTCTTTTGTTGTGTTTTGATTTATTGCTACTGCAGCAAAAGCACTTGCCCCGCAGGGACGAATAAAGGTCTTGAACTTAAACTATAAACAGTATATACAGTAGCTAGCACATAACCAGAGCATATAAGGTCCAAGTAGGGATTCTGGATTGCAATGCATGCGGCGAGCAGGAACATGAAAGGACATTTGCGTGAGCAGTACGGCCCATTAGTAAAGAACAATGTGTCGAAGGTGAGGAAGAGGTAGATAATGATGTGTGGAGGAGACAATCAGCATGAGGCAGTTATGACTCAAGGATAGTGAATAATGTATGACTGACAGTGGCAATAATGACTCTTGAATAATGTGAACTATGTGGAAGTGCAAGGGTCTGCATGAGCTTGTGTGTGTGTGTGTGTGTGTGTGTGTGTGTGTGTGTTTGTGCGTGGTACGAACGAGGAAGACGATGTGAGCGTAGAGGTGGATGCCGAGCTGGATGCCGTTGACGATCTTCTCCCTGGCCCAGCGAGGGATCCCGAAGTTGGCGATCAGAGCCATAACAGGCACTGCGAAAAACCTGAGGAAGACAAGTGAGTAGATTTAAGATAACGGGAAAAAAATACATTAAAAGAAGAGGAAAAAGACGAGAACAGGACTGGATGGTGAGAGAAAAAGAGGCAGCAGAAACAGATGTAAAGCACGCAGAGAGATAAAGATGGAAGAAGAGGAGAGACGCAGATAATGAGGCGGGAGATAGAGACAGCAATGAGAGAGAGATACAGAGATAATATTAGTCTTTGTAATCTACACTTCATTTGAAGCTTGTGCTATTACACCCAGTGAGTGAAGGGCAGAGAGCCGAGCAGTGTGCTTAGATGAGTTTTTCTCAGGGTTGTTTAAAAAGGGAAAACACTACTTTACAGTACAAAGCTTTAAACTATCTAGCACACATATATATGGAAGCATAAATTATTCTAATAGAAGAGACCTCATCAGCTGGGTAAAAATAGATGTTTTCCTCTAGCAATCATTCACTCAAGCACAATTATCTACAGTGTTAGTAGAGCACAGCGATCGAGCACACAGTGTTGTAGGAGGGTAGTGTAAAATAAACAACTTTTCATTCCTGGACCGCTAAAGCATCAGCTATCTCACGCACATTTTTATAGAGCTGCATAAATTATTCAAATTGGAGAGACCTCAAACAGAGAAACGTGTATTTTTCTACTCCCGCAATCTCGCTCAGGTGCTATTATCTGCGGCGAGGGCAGAGTTAGGGAGGAAGCTGTGCGGGGCTCACCATAGCGTGTATGTGGTGAAGAAAGGGACATAGAAGGGTTGTTTCTCAGGGTAATGCTTCAGAGAGACCAGCACCGCGTAGCAGAACCACACGTAGGCCAGCAGCTGCAGACCCATCAGTCCGTAGCCTGCGGGGCTGTCGTAGGCGTACAGCACTTCACCTGGGTCAAAGAACTGGCACAGGGACATGAGAAGTTACGCCAAAGAGGAGACACTTTAAATGAGCTAAACTTTTTTTACACAAAGCAGAAAAGGAGCAGTTTGGCTTGGCTACACATTGTAGTCTGTGTTCTAATTACTAAGATGGATTGGTTGTGGCTCGGCTGATGCACTGCGACGACCGAGCCAAAGCTCAGCTTGTTGCATTCTGCGTCGGTATTTGACATTGACACTTCTTCTCTACAACTGGGTCATCGGCATGTGTGTGGACAGGTTTGCGGGTGTGTGTGTGTGGCTTGCATCTGCGGACGCTGGATTGCATTTCACAGTCCAGTGACTGGATAGCGTTGGGCCATACCGGGTTACCCGTTACTACATAATGCATAGGTCTCGCAGCTCGGTGTGGAGATTCTTGGGATCCAACCAGCCAGCCTGAGCATGTCAGATTCCCCCAACTGCAGGCCCAGCACCAGGAGCACTCCTCAACTCTTTATTTCAGTTCCAATTGTAACCTAGTTTGGCGTATTTTTAGCAGGAGCTCCCCTGAGCTTTGAGCTCTTTAATAGTAGGGACCATGTAAGAGGGCAGGCAGCAGATAAATTACACTGCTTCAGATCCACATATTGCAGTGTGAGAGATGGCTATAGGCTCCAGCATTAAATATAGCACGAATACTTCCACTGCACTACTCCCACTGGGTCATTAAAAGGCTGTATTCAAAGGCTGTAATCCACTGTCCCTGAATGTACTGTCATTACATCGGACTGTGCCGAAGCCTCTGCAGCGTGCACGGATGTACTGTATGTAGCTGCAACCCTCCCGAGTGCCTAATTAATTCATGAGCTCATAATGCTACACATGCTATAACATCATGGCTGATGAAATCCGTTTCCTTCCTCACACACAGACAGTCTGGTTAATCAGAGCGCTGATTAGTGGTCTGATCTATGATTTATTATCTCAGGTACAGTACTAAGCACTGCAAATCTCTGTAGTCGTGTTGGTCGTCGGGAGTTAGGAGTCGTCTCACTGTTTACTGTTTAGACCCATAATTTGTAACTCATCAAGGAGTTCCTTTTTTTAACAATCAACCTGATGCATGTTCATAATTAGCAATGTATCAATGTAATTAAGTGTCTTGACAGAAAAAGCCATTACAGCCCACGTTGATCTGTGGGCTCGACTCTTGCATGAATATTTATGGGATTATTAAAAAAGCCAAAGAGAGCAATAATACGGGTGCAGAGATACCGTGTCGAGTCAGAAATCATCACCGGTAATGCTGGGCATTATTCAGACGCTGCTTTCAAGTCACATCTGAAGTGCTGAAAGTGTTCATGTTTTACTAGCTGGAATCTGAACTTTGAATAAAAGGGAACCAAACTTCAGAGGACTTTGTTTTTGGTAACTACTGTATAGGTGATTTTTATTAGGGCTGCCATGAAAGATCATTTTTACTGCTCGTGATTCTGTCAGTTACTTCCCCAGTAAATCAATACATCTTTGTCAACACAGTGTTGTAAAGAGAAGTGTTAGAATAGTGGAAAATGTCCATGGTAATTTCCCAGAGCATAAACTGAGGTCTTCATATTGTTTGTTCTGTCAACTCAATAGTCCAAATTTACATAATATAATATAACAGACTGTGAGCAACAGCATTTGAGAAGTTCTTGGAATAAAACAACAGATTTTCTAACTTAGGTAGCAAACCTACAACTACCGGTAATGCCCTGCGCCACACCGGACCAATGAATGCTCATCTGAAAAACAATATGGTGGCCTGCTGGTAACAGGACTTGTATAACAGTTAAACAGGAAGTTAAAATATGTTTCTGAAAATGTTTTAGGTGAGAAATAGGTGACGCAGTAACAGAATCTTGGCTTGTATTTGATCAGCACTGCCTAGTTTTACAGTTTGTTCACAGTATTTTCAGCCTTTTCAGCCATTTCTACAATACAGGAAACACTATGGTGCCCACTTCCTGTTCACAAACTCTCATATTACAGCCAAACAGTGCACTAAAATATGTTTCTAAAAACAATTAGGTGAGAAACAGACAATGCAGTAACAGAATCGTGGCTTGTATTTGATCAGCACTGCCTAGTTTTACAGTTTGTTCACAGTATTTTCAGCCTTTTCAGCCATTTTTACAATACAGGAAGCAGTATGGTGCCCACTTCCTGTTCACAAACTCTCATATTACAGCCAAACAATGCACTAAAATATGTTTCTAGAAACATTTAGGTGAGAAATAGGCGACACAGTAACATACTCTTGGTTTATATTTGATCAGCACTTCCTAGTTTTACTGTTTGATAAGTTTGGTCTGAGTTTGAGCGAGATGAGAGGGAGCTCTCTCTCTTGATCCGCTTCTGTACTCTGTAGCCACTTTCCCATTGCACCACAAAAAACCCAGTAACACCCACTAACATCTGGCTTTTATATGTAATAGGAAAGGTTACAGTCAGCATTCACACTCGGGTCTAGTTACTTTACAGGTATTTATCGGCTCTGGTTCTGGCATTAATGGAAACACAACAACCAAGTGAATGAGCTCATTACATCCCTTTTCTGATGAGATGCAGTGATCACAAAATCCATATCTGCCCAACAAGTGCTCAAACATCGATCCAAATTAGTCTGCACTAAGCTTGAAATAAGACTGCTTTACTGTTTACTAACCAGTTTTACAGCCTGTCCTTGACCCAAAACATGGCATATCAATTAAAAAGGGAAAGAAAAAATAAACACAGAAAGGCGTGCTTGTCTGCAGCAGAGCTGTATAAGCAGCTCTATTCTATTGGCAAGTCTATGGCCTTTTTTTTAGCAGGTTTTATCGTGTTAAAAAAGCCTGCGTACATGCGCAAATCTTGGTGGAAAAGGGGTGCTTGTGTCTGTGGTGGTGGGCATTCAACAATGAGGAAGTACAATTTGTAGTTTGAGCAACAGCCCTGGCACCAGTGAAGCAGGAAGATCATGTCACTGGCAAGACGAGGGAAACTTAACATAGTTCATTTACACATATTACCCACAGTGTTATGATGGAAAACTGTTTAAAATTTGGTGAAGTAACCCTTTAATTCTTCTTTCAAATATGTTTATTGGGAAACCAGTCAATAAACAGTGAAATTGACAATCGACAGTTATGTTTCCTCTGAAGTAACCCTTTAATTAACCATTAAAATAACCGCAGTAGCTTCAGTGTTTACCACAGTGCAGTGTGGGTATTGTATGTGTGTGTGTGTGTAGTACCTCTGCCTCGTAGATGAAGAGGATGACGTAGGTGATTGTGTAGACTGTCATGTAAATGCTCAGCTTAACCGACCCACTGTGACTGATCCTCGCCCTGACACACACACACACACACACACATACAGACAAATATGGTGAAAGGTCACACACAAGTTAGTGGAAGATAAGAAATACAGACACACTGAAAGATACACAGACGCATGCAAACACACATACAAAATTCCACATTTGGATCTTAACACACAAAGCAAAGACAGCTTAATCTAAAAAGCAGCTATTCAACACCACACAGCACAAAGGACTGGTGTGCTCAGCTCTGAGAGTTATAAATATAAAATGGCTGCAGACTCATGCACACGGCAGGCTGTGAAGAAATCTGTCCGCACTCACAAAATCAGAAATTAATGCCTCTTCATTTGCAGTCAATAAACGTAATGAGCATTTTCAAACACCCTTTTGCTCAGACTAATTCAACACCACACACCAGAGACGACGTATCAAAGTTGTCGGGTAGTTATCTCAAAACTGTCAACTTATCAGTTAGTGCAGATAAACAGTCATGCTTCTAGCTTGATGGTGATGCAGTTTTAAGTTTATACACCGGGGCTTTTAAGAGGGTTTAATAAGTCGAGGAGATCACAGAATCTTCTGAGCCCAGAGGAGGATGTAATCCTGGAGTCGAAAAAGCCAGCTTAAATCTTGCAAGCTCAGTTTTCGCTACAAGAGTTCAGTCTGGAAAATATCCACAGAGATTCAACTGAGCCCGGAGCAGGACCGATCTTCAAACTGTGAGCAGTGGTTTAGATGATGACTCACCACGAACCAATACCTTGTGAACTGCCATTTAACTGAGCTGTTTCTTGCATAAAACTGACTCAGACACCGGCGTCCGGGAATAGCTTGGGAGAAATCTAACAACGTTTCGAGAACAACTGGCATGTTTGATAATTGGGATTTTAAAATTGGAAATGTAAAACTGGAGAGCACTCATGAATCATCTGTTGTGCCGGCTATCTGAAATGATGCCCGTCTTGAGCAAATGTCCACTAAGCCTTGCCAGGGAAACAGTCAGCGAACCAACAATTTGTCAGCTGGCTGTGCCGAGTGAAAGGTAATCCTGCAGCTGACACAAAAACATGAACACGACATAAAGTTCATAGCGTCAATCTATCAAATTCCCCCTGACATATCAGGTGTTCATCCGCATCGTCACGCCCCGGCTTACTAACTGACTTTTTGATTGGCATCTAACATTGTCATATCATGAGATACTGTTATGACTGTGACAGCGAGGCCTGACAGTGGGACACAGTGGCAGCATAAACACACCCGCACAAGGTGACAGGCTTGGCTAAAAAGAGACACACACAGGCTTGACGAAACACACACACACACACACACACATACACACACAAAAGCTGCAAAAAAATTGCAAACCCCCACCTGGTGACAGTGAAACCTTTGCCCAGTAATATAAGCATCAGAAGGAACACCAAGAAACTGACGGAGAACAGTAATTTCCCTGGAGACGGACAGAGAGGAGGAGTGAGACAGGGAGAGAATTAGGTTGTGGTTTCCAAATCTGTAATATCAGAGGGGAGAGATAAAAATCGGGTCTTTACACACACGCAAAATCATGCACGGTCCTGCCTGCGCCCGTCAAACCAGCTGATGCACCACTTCAGCCGCTCACACATCCATCATCGTGCGCTCGTTCATTCTGCTCGGGCAGTGAGTGATTCAGTCAGTCAGTCAGTCAGTCGGTGGCCAATGCGGGAGAAGAACTCACCAAGTATTTTCAGGCTGCCGTTGCCAACTCCATCTCTAGCATACAGGCCCCAATAGACACAATGGAACAACAGGCTGAGCACTGCCAAGTAGAAACGACACAGGGAGCACAGAAAATAAGGAAAGAGGAGAAGGAGGGGAGGATGAGGAGAGCAGGGGAGGAAGAGCGGGAAAGGTAGAAGAGACGGAGATGTCAGAGAGAAGAAGTAAATAAAAGATAGAGCGGACGGGGAGATGATAATGAGGAAGGAGAGAGGGCAGGGGTAGGAGAAGAGGAGAGGAACGGAGAGTAGAGAAGCAAAGCACGAAAAAAAAGAGGAATTGATAAAAGGAGATGAAAAAGGAGCAGACGGCTCGAGAGGAGTGGGAGAAGGAGAATTTAGGGGTGGCAGGAGAATAGAGAAAGGGATTTGGAGAGGGGACAAGTGAGCAAGATAAGGAGGGGTGGGTGGGTGGGTGGGGGGGGGGTGAAAAAGGAGAGGAGAGAATGAGGAGGGTATTCGTCAGTAACAGCATGCTCCAGTGAACACTGTAACGCAGCACGGCTGTTTGCAAAAGTTCCTATTCAGAGGCTAATAAGGGCGATAATATCTCGCCTCTTGAAGCGGGGATTAAGGTATGAGATGCTGCAGCCGTGTGAGGGGCTCATCGTCGTCTTGAGTGTGTGTGTGTGTGTGTGTGATGTGGCACGATGTGTGTATTATGGTGTGTGTATTCAGGACACCCGCACTCACCCTCCACACCTGCCGCTGTCATAAACATTTTGTAGGTTGTGTGAAGAAGCTGTCTTCCCTTCAGATTGTCTGCAGGGGGGGAAAAACAAGAATGAGATAGAGGTGATGGAGTTGTGTGTGTGAGTGTGTATGAGTGTGTGTTGGGGATAGAGATAAAAAGAATGGAGATATGCTAACAGATGGCGGAGGAGAGCGAGGGAGGTACAGAGAGTGAGAGACGGAGAGAACAAGAAAAGGGAAAGAACAAGGGAGTGGGCCAGATAAATGGGGGGGAGCGACCATTAGTATGCATCCATCTTGTGATGCCCGTCTCCAGATGAGGCCTTATACATCTTCTCCACTCCCTCTCTCCCTGAGCTGTGGGGAAATATTTTTAATGCGTATTTAAGCAGCCAATTTTACTACCAAAACACTCCTGCAAACAGAGGCAGCCCCGGGGAAAATTTACAGGGGGAGGAAGGGTCATAAACGTTCACACACACACACACACACACACACACACACTCACAGCTGCCCTGCATAACCGCAGGCTTGGCCAGCCAGACGCTGCTGGATCCTCCTGTGACTTCCACAAACGTACTCTAATGGTGGCTGTCAAAGGCACGTTTCTCCCAAAAGGCCTTTAGGCGCGTTTTGCTCTATTTGCACGACACTCCACATTGTTAATTTTTATGTCCTTTGTTTGACTTTAACTTGTGCAAATAAATAAAAACTCAATAAAACTCAAGCCTCCATGTCTGTGAATACTCAAATGAAGCCGGCAGAAGCAACATGCACGTGGTGAATGAGATATAGCGGTGCGTTCAAAGCCTCCTCCCAATCTGCATGAAATCACAAAAAGATTTCAGCAGAACTCAACAGCCAAAAGACGTATTTGCACCTCATTACATTATTCTGCTGCAGCGTGGCAAGCAAAGTGAAAAATAAACTCAGCCTAAGTTTAATATTCTGATTTCTCTCATTTTAAAGGACCAGTTTACCCAAATTACATAAAAACTAATTACCAAACAAAACAAAAGAATGACTGTGTTTCTGTAGCTGTTGAATTATGATATGATATTGCTTTTAAAAGCAGTGAGCGCAAACTCAAATTCACTTCCATTCAATCGGGGTGGCTGCAGAAATCTCAGTGACAGATATCTCAAAATCCTGGCTAAGAAAACTGAAAGTATTTGCATTACAGTTCTCAACCTGAAGGTCGATTAAATGAACGAGAAGGAAAAAAATATGTTTGTTGCACCATTAAAAAAATTACTTTTGTCTATTTTTGGTCGTTTTTGTTTTCTTTGTAAAAATCTTTCACCCTTTGAAGCTTTTATAATTTTTTTAATGAAAAATGTCTCTGTGGCTGAACCACTCATATTCATTAAGGATTCATTAGGGATTTTTTGCCATCTTTTTCGTCCTTGTACAAGTATAAAGAGATTCAGTGTGCAACTTCTGTTACGATTAAGGTTGCGTATTGTTTAAAAAGTGACGATACCAGCACCAATACTAGTACCCTCAAGGTGATACTGATAACAACTGAGTACTTCATTGGATACCCATAATATGAATGGAGCGGCATGAAGTATAGCTGTCACAGGGTGATGGTATATGCGTGGTCCTGGTGGCGGCGCTATCTTGAGATGGGAGCTCTCTAAGCTTTTGCGGGGTTTCTTTAAATGACCTAGAATACACTGTGAGTGAGTGGACTCATTTTTTTTACTTGTTTTAATAAATTATTTTATGGTCCACATCGACAGTTGTTGTCTGCATGCTGACTTGGGTCAGTAATCTTCCCCAGTGGCAGTTATCGAAACCTCCCTTTAAAGTCACGCACCCGTTATATAGCCATACTTTTGAATATTTTGGTGACATCTCGGCATGCTGAACTGCCAACTCCGTCCAATGCGCCACGCTCGACTTCACCTCACCAAAGACTGTATGACTTGTTGCTGCAGCTGTGTGAGTGTGAGCTCCGTGCCAGGGACAGTTGATAAGTCGGTCCACACATACACAGTGACAGGGCTAACTGTTCCCATCATATGGTTAACGTCACCTAACTGTTATCAAGATTTAACGAGAGACTCAAGTTGTTTTGGTGTCAGCGTGACGTTATCGGGACTGTTTACTGGCTCAGTGTTGGATGTTAGCTGCTGATGTGTTAGCATGTGCTAACCGGGCATACGTTGAACTGACTGTTCGCCACAGGGAAAGCGGCTCTGACGAAAGCAGCAACAGAAAGTTTGCTTGCTGTTTGCTGATGGGAGTTTGGATGTACCAGGATCAGACCACTGGAGCAAAAGGGTTGAACGCAGTCATCATTTAAGAATTTTTTGTACTACTTTAATGGTCAAGGTATCTAGTACCAATGCCCACCCTAGTTACAATGGTACAACGAATAAGGCAAAAAATTCTAAATGAGTTAAAATAGCAATAACTACTGTTATAACATTATTAAAAGTAACAGGTGTTATAAACAGTGCAAATAGCTCAGATGTACAGTGCAGCATTAAAACCAAAACAGTGCAAACACAATATAGTCCCACTATTGTAATAAAGTCAGTTGTGCCAGACATTATGGGATCAGTCAGACAGATTACAGGGGGCGCCTAGTGGACTGCTTCAATGCAGTTAAAGCTCTATAGAGAAAAAGCTATTAGTCTGGAGATGCAGGCGTAAAAGGTCTTAGAACATCTGCCAGATGGAAGCAGTTCAAACAGACGGTGGCGTGGGTGTGTGGGGTCCTTACAGATGCTGGAGTCTAGACCAGCCTTCACATTCAAGTGCACAAGATAAGCCTGTTCACCTACAGTGCAAGATGCTGATCAATATAGACTGCGAAGTGAAGAGCGAAGGAGCTACTGACTGTCTTCTTCCTAAAGTCCTATCCACTGACTTCTCACCAGCACCCCTAGTGGTCCGAACATAAAAATACTAGCTGAGAACACTTAAGTTAACGACAGCTCCCTTCTAAGAAGTAACAGTTGCTGCAAATTATTAAAGCCCAAAGTATACTTTTGCTGAGTCTAGACCAACCTATAAGAGCCTTCGTCTATGGACCTTACATAGCTGCACACAATCTGTAATTTTACATCACTGAGGAGAGGCTACGTGATTATTTAAGAAACCCTTCAACAAATTATAACAAACACAGAAAACTTTAACTACAGATGAGCTACTTTAATTTAATCATGCAGAAGCTTACAGCAATAAAACAGTCATATCAACCAGGCGTAATGACTGCAATCAAACACAAATCAATTCTTCAGACTCTGAAGATCAAGGCTGGAAGTAAAGATGCAAAAAGTCCAAAAGTCTCTAAACTCAGTAACAGCATCTCGCTCAGTGGAGTGAGTGCAAACAGAATGAGCTCCAGCACTCGCAGTAACTCCATCTCATCAGGCTCTTGTTTGTCTCATTCATGACAACAGCAAAACTGTTCCGCTTGTTTGAAATCTTGTTCTCAGGTGGAAAGACTCTGCTCAGCTCCAGTTCTTGTTCAGAGCGATGCAGTGTCCCCCAGCAATTGATCAGGGTATCTGCACTTCTCTAAAACCTTAAGTTCTTATACCTTTTCTCGATCCCTACATGGACGTCCCTCATCAAATCTCCTCCTCTACTGTCCCTACATTAGATCATAGGTACGCCCGCCTGATGCTAGCTTTTGCTGTTCTGTTAATCAACCATCTATTCTAATTCAGGTACTTCCCATTTTCATCAGCCATCTGTGGCTGCTCAATAGTCTCGGTGCTAAAGTAAACTTTATAATCATCATGAAGTTCATTCTGAAATATTTCTGTATAAAATCATTAGAGGTTCAATATTTATCAAACTCTACTTGATTAAACACATTAAGTATAACTCACACATTTCTACTCACTGATTCAGTGTCCATTACAGCATGACTTACAATATAAATCACAAGACTTTATTCATTTAGTGGTTCGTTATTTTACCACTCATTTCTTTAGCATTTTAAATCTCTTTTCCGATCTAACCTCCATCTTCTCTTACTGCTGTTTCCCTGCAGTGGTTCCTCCTCTCTACTGGGCCCTCACTCTGCCTGCAGTGGTGACAGGTTACTTATTGGTGACATGCAGGTCAGGTAATCGATAATCAGCTCCGGTTCTTCCTCCTCTGTGTCTTCCTATGGACTGTCAGAGGTAGAATGGGCTTGTTGTGGTTCTTCCTTTTCATTAGGTTCTTCTGCTGCTTCTGGGTTTGGCTTGTTTAGTGTTTGTGTTTGTGTTTGGACAGGGCTATTATCTGGCCTTTTTCACTCAGGGAGGCCTCGAGGCCTCCTATAAAGTCGTCTGGATTTAGCATCGTCGTCCATTTTTCAAGCCACTTTGACGCTTGAAGGAAAAATATCAGTAGAGCACTGCACTTGAAAATGTAACCATCACTTTTTTTATGATGCCTTTGTGTTCAGTTCAATGTTCAATTTGTTCAATAAAAGAATGTTGGAAAAATCTCTCATTTTTTATTGGTTGTATTTTACCAGTATACTGAAGGCTGCAGAGAGGTCCTGAGTACACTTAATATCTATTTATTTATCGCAAGTCATATCGTTATTGCAACATTAGCGTGTATCACATAATTTCCGCATATTGTGCAGCCTTGGTTACAAACCAAAACAGGCAGGGGACCTCTTAGAGATACGGTAAGTGAGAGAATATGTTAAATTGAAAGTGAATCAATCCTTTAAAGTTGGGGTAAAGTCAAATGTGAGATTAACATTGCAGGAAGGCTAAACATATAACTGCCGATGCCTCACATCCATTACACTCACAGTTTGAGCTGCTCCCGTCTGGGCCTCAATTTAGGGTCCTTAGAGCCAGTCAGAACATATATAAGAAGTCCTTTATTCCCAATGTCATACAGGCAATGAACACAGAATGACTGTGTCAGGGAACGCTACTATTTTTATAAGATGTGCTCTCTTTTACTCTATCTGTCTATCTATCTAAACACAGTTTACATGTTAAAAACAACTTGTTGAAAATGTGAAAAGACTGGGAGCTATATAGCACTGAATTGTGGAGACCAAAAGTTAGACTGTTTTTCACCATTTCTGTGTCCAGGATTTTGTTTTTGGCAGGGCTAAAAGCCTGCTTGATTACAATTTTTGTTGTTGTTTGACAACCTGGGAGCCTATCCCAGCTGACACAGGGCGAGAGGCGGGGTACACCTTGGACAGGTCACCAGACTATCACAGGGCTGACACATAGCGATAGACAACCATTCACACTCAAATTCACACCTATGGGCAACTTAAAATCACCAATTAACCTAACCTGCCTGTCATGTCTAGACTGTGGGAGGAAACCGGAGAACCCGGTGAAAACCCCAAACGGCCAATTTAGAGTCGCCAATTAACCTCACATGCATGACTTTCGATTGTGGGAGGAAGCCTGAGCCACACTGACACGGGTTCGAACCAGGAACCTTCTTGCTGTGAGGCGGCAATGCTAACCACTCTAACCACCATGCTGACATCCATTGTAGTAAAAATAGTCAAAAAATACGCACATCCCAAGGTCCACTTGGAGTGGGTGCTGGATACATATATACAAAAGTCATGAAAAAAGGAAAAAATGTACTGCACACCGAGTCTCAGCTCCCACTGAAGGCATCATACATCATGTAACAGCAGTTTGAGAAAGAGCCTTGTGCTCGAAACGTCACAGCGCAAATAAAAAAGCCTTCAATGGGAGCAGAGACTTGGTGTGCGGTACATTTTTTCCTTTTTTCATGACATCCATTGTAGTGCCACAGTTAAAGGAGGCTGCAGCTTTCCAGCAAGTGGGCGTGGTCTCGGCACATTCAGCAGACACGCCCCCACCATTTCAGATTTTGAAACTTAATTTTATGCACTTGGAGGCTTTTTTAATAACTCAAATTTGACTAGGTGCTTAACAAAACATTTTTCCGTTGTGTGACAAACTCATTACACATATTTATTTTTACCCGGACTTTAACAGCTTGGAAGAAGGAAGATGGCTGCACAGGAAAACCTCACAGAACATGAAGGAAGCAGGGAATGACAGAGTTTTCACTGAGCAGTAAGTCATTCCTTAGGGCTCTTGTTCTCAGCTGCTTCGGGTTATTTGAGCTGTGACCTTCATGTGACAAACTCGCTTCACTAACCTCAAAGCTAGCGCTACCTTCTCCATTCAAGCATTCACCTTTACACGAAAACCAAGCCCCACTCTCGCCATCCTCTCTCTCCTACTTTCTATGTTGCTCGTGCTCTGTTCTGACAAACCCCCGGGCCTGAGAAAAAATAAGCACATGCTCCCCCTTTTACTTATCGGGGAAAACATGAGAACTTACTCCTATCCCATCAAGAAAACATGTAGACTTTATTATAGATTTGAAGCAAAGGGCACTTAATGACTGCTGCGGGCTTTGAAAGTCAGAAAAAATTGGCCGGTTCATGGAGGAGGAGAGGTACAGTAAGTGGAAAAGACAGTACTTACAGGCAAAGTAGCAGGAGAGGAGGAACACCATGGAGAAGATGACCAGGAACGTGATGTCCGTCTCCAAGATTCCTGTGAAAAGAGGGTGGAGGAAGCAGAGGAAGGAAATGGAATAATTGATGAGAACGAAAGATGGGAAAAAAGTGGGAGGTGGTGAAAAAGGGAGGGGAGGTGAAATCAAAGAAGAAAAGAAGGAAGAAAAAAGTAGAAAAAGGAAGGGATAAAAAACCAAGAGAGGCAGGTACGTGATGAGGATATCGGATTAGTTAAGAAACCCAGAGAGTTACAGTAGGGGAGAGGGAGAGACAGAGAGAACATTGGAGATGTAGGAATAATTCATTTAGAAGCTACTTGGGCCCCCTCTTCTTTTCATCCCTTCCTCTCAGTTCATCTATCATCATTAATTCATTCAGCCGTCCCTTCATTATTGTAATTTGTTCAGTTCAGTGTGCTTTATTGGCCGTGCTAAGTGGTGTTGGCTTGTGCCATCAGCAATTCCTTCCATAATCTCTCTCTTTCTGTCTAATCACTCTTACCGAACTCATCTGCAGAGAAATGCTGCGTCCAGAAAGACTGGCCATTGGTCAGTTTCATCTCATACTCCAGCTGCAAGCCATCGCCCTGCGAGAGAAGACAGAGGAGGAAGAAAAGACAGAGGAGGCAGGTGAGATAAAACATGCATTCAGGCTTTGTGATCTGTACAAGATATACATTAAAGCTTAAAGCCGCACAATCCTGCGGGTCAAAATGGCAATGAGACTAATGATTCTTCAGATACATTTTTAAACATATTCTTATGACATTTTGATGATGGAGACCTGCAGGATCTGTTTGTTGGACTTAAATCCAGCATTTTACATGAACCTCTGACTGCTGGATCACCCAGACAGCATACGTGTTTTGAAATGTAAGAAATCAAACTGGTGCAGGGACACTGACAGAATCAAATACCACAACATCGTGGTTTCTATACATAAAATGTGATATCTGCAAAAGAGAACTTTTATTTTCACTTATCCTTTTCATTGATTTGTCCACAGAGATGCAGCACATTCTCACATAGAAACAGATCCCATCTAGTCCATAACATTTCCAAAATTTTTCATGCAGCCACACCTGCTGTATTTCCTCTCTAGAATGCTCAATCAATGAATACTGAAACCAAGACTCTCCAGTAGCATATATCAAGTAAAAGTAACAACCCACCAAACCACTTTGCCTCTCTGCCACGATGTCACAATCCAGGGTAAATAGAAAATAAGCACAATTTTCAGTAATCAAAACAAATAAATTGTCCTGGCAGTGGTTTACCTCATCCTATGGTTTGTATTATTTTCCTCCCTTTGAAATGAGAACTATTTCCATAAGGAAATCAGATATTCTCTGAGAGTAAATTGGCAAATTTCCTTGGAAAATTTACAAGAAAAAAAGTGATATTCTTTGAGAAAAAAAAGGGCATGTGACATAGTATAAAGAGTGGCAAAGTCCTGGAGGAAGTCATGGTGGATAGAAGGTCAAAAAATACAGGACTTCGACATAGGACACAAGGCTTCATGTCCCCTGTGAGTCGACGTTGGCTTCTCATTTTCAGACTTAGATGACTTATTATTTTCAGTTTTTAGTAGAGCTGCCCCCTGAAAGTTGGAGATTCAAATCTTCAGTCGGGGACCCCTCAGTCAACTCAAATTCCACCAACTGGGGTGTGTGTGTTCGTCAATGTGCAGTGCACTTCTTCAGATTAAGCTTTAGAGTGAGCGTTCCTCACTTTCATGCTGCTCTTCGGTACAGGCCGCTGCAGACACAGAGGCAGCCTGCCTGAGGGAGGAGACAGGCTTTGCACCCTAATACGCTGACTTAACATTATCATCTGCCTTCTGCTTAGAAGTGGTGAATTTGCAGCTCAGAGCAACTTAATACAGTACAGTCTCTGGTTTTTGTTTGATATCTAGTTTCGGCAAAAATTTTGTTGCACATTTACGATCCGTCGTTAGCATAGTTAGCTTGTCTACTATATTACGTGAATGTCACTGTCACGATGAATGTCCTCCTGAACCCTGTTTAAACTCTTAAACTCTATATGTAAAAAAATAAAAGAGCAATACATAGATGGATAATTGTATTGAACAACCAAATCTGATTTGACTGAAATAATTCTAAATAGGTCCATCCCTTGTTTTAGGATGTATAGTATAAAGCTGCTGATGTTTTTCTTGTATATTTGGGGTTTTTTTGCCACTTTCATCTCAGATTTTGTTTTTCTCTTAAATTTACAATTTTATCTCAGAAATTCTGATTCTTTTCTTGGAATATTACCCCCTTCCCATGGCTATGTTTTTTTATTTTTACCTGCAACGGTCCTTACATTCCATTGAACATATGCCACATAAAAAAATCATAAACCAAAATGGAGAAATGCATATTTGATAGTTTTCGGTCTCATAATGGCACTCCCTTCTCTTTGCATTAATCTGTTGGAAAACCACTGGTTCTCTTTCAGAGTAGATGACAGAATGTTTTTGGTACAAATGCCAAAAAAATTCAGTGGCTCAAAAGGTAGAGCAGGTCGTCCATTAATCGGAAGATCAGAGGTTTGATCCCTGGCTCCTCCAGCCTGCATGTTGAAGTGACCTTGGGCAAGATACTGGACCCCAGTTTGCACCCGATGGCTGTACCATCGGTTTGTGAGTGTGTGTGAATGGTTACTGAGTAGCAGGCGGCACCATGTATGGTAGCCTCTGCAACCAATGTATGAATGAGTGAATGTGACATGTAGTGTAAAAGCGCTTTGAGTGAGCAGAAGACTAGAAAGGTGCTATACAAGTGCAGTCCATTCACCATTTGACAATACAATAGTCGAGTCTGGAACCAATACCAAAATTAAACTTTAGCTCACTTCATCTATCGACATGTAAAGCAACATAATGAATTCCCTTTACTGTCTTTTACCAAAAGTAGCCAAAGTTCTCAAAAGTTAAATATTGTGGAAACAGCTGCACAAGATCTTTGCTTGAATTTTTGTTTTTAATTGTGATAAATCAGGATCTATTTATATAATAAATAGAGCACCAGACTAACTGATACTTGCTGCTTTTCATTTGGTACCAAAAGAGTACTGAAGATCAACACCCTGTCTTATTAACAATGTTGATACACTGACTAAGCACGTAGAAGCTCAGCGCTCAGAGGGATCAAATACGATCACAGCAATGCAGCCTTTAAGACCAGGAAAACAAAAATCTGGACTTCACCACCAAATTAGGAAAATTAAAATCCCAAAGGATGTTTAGTCTGTTCAGTCACAAAGTCAACATCCTGATTTCACTTGGACACCGTGTAACACATCCATAAAACTGATGAAAAACATCTTAGCTGTTTGCTGATGATCATGAGACAGTTTTGCTTTTTTAAGATAACTGACTCATCTTTCTCTGCTGCAGTCATTTCCCACTGATGTCCATTCTTCACACCAGAACGTCACGAGAGCGAACACGATGACAAAGGTGCCACATGCGACTCTGTGATTCCGTTTGATGCGACTGTGTTCAAACGTGAAATTCCTGCCTACTGAAGCAGAGGCCAGATTTCTTCCAACCATTCCTGGTACAAGAGGAGGAAAACATCCAGATCCTCCTTGGGGACGGACACACTGTCGGTTTAGCTGCTCGGTGAAATTGTGCCATATAGTCAGTCGGTCCCCCAGCCGGCCTGGAAGTGCCTCGGGATCCCCCAGGTGTGTGTGGAGGGAGGTAGTGGAGAAATGAAAAAAGGAATCTAGGCTGCTCTGCCTTCTGTGCCGCCAATGAGCAGATGACCCAGATTAACAGAAAGGAAGGATGGATGGATGGATGGATGGATGATAGCCGTAGCAACAGTTTTCTCTGCTTTAATGCAGAGTCTTCTCTTTTTTAATCTTTAATAGTGTGACGCACTTATAAATTATTCGTTCGACTCATTATAATTATATGTCGATCAGATATATTTGTTCTAAGGTGCGATGTTATGAAAGGCAGCACAGGAAGATAATATCTAGGTGTGTAAACATGCAGTGAAGAAGAATTACCTTGGAGAGAATAAACGTACCTGAGTGTTAAACCCCTGCTGGAATGATGTTAATTTTTTTGCAGTCACACAAATAAAAAAGTGTCAAACTGAAAGTGAATTTGGGGAGGTGAGAAAAAAAGTGCGATGGGGAACAAGGGGGGGAGGAGACCGAGATGGGTTGACAATCAGAGCACAGAGAGCTCATTTCACACACACAAGTTCAAAGCCGATGGAGTTCGCGCTTGTTGCGGTGGAGCGAGGGAAAAGAGTGAGTGAGAGAGGGAGGGGGGAGAAAAAGACTTTGATTTCATTTGGCAGCCTGAGACTCCATCTCACTCCCTCTATCAAAAAGGGCGAGAAGCATGGAGCGTGCACTGCCACAAAATCAATACAGACACAAAGAGCAAGGAGACAGAGATAAAGAGAGTGATAGATGTAGAGGGGGAGAAAGTTAAAAACACAGGTAGGGAGAAAGGTAGACTGAAGAGAAGGGAGCACATGCAAAGAGGGGAAGAGAGATGTATGCAGGGGGGAGAGGGGAGAGATGAGGGGAGAGGCAGCACTTCACACAGCGGGGATTATCTCTTGGTGGGACTGACAAGGAGTCACAGGATGATTTTGGGGTTGTTTGTTGGTTTCAGGTGTAAAAAGGCATCTACTTCTGATATACTGCACTGATATATCACACAGTGAATGTGCTCTAACCATAACACCTGTGCAGTCTTGTACATCTTGTGCCCCCCTGAGCTGCAGATAACTGCATTTAAAAGGGACTTCTGGGAGTCTTCTGACAGTGTGGATCTTTTATCTGGACAAAACGTGTGTATAGATAGCTGAACATTATGCTCATATGTGATTGTTGGACATGTCATTCCAAAACTATAGGGCAGTAAAGTGATATTTTGGGTTGTATGAGGTACTTATCCATAGTGAGTGTGAAACCCACAGTCAATGTCACTCAGACGCATCTCTCTCTTTAAACCCATTCAGTCTCCCTCTGCAGAAGTTCCTCTGTATACTCTGGTTCCTCTCGTCTCCACAGTAAATGGCATTTCATTGTCACCGTCACGACCACTTATTTTTTATTTTGTCATGTTTATTGTCTCTTTCATAAACTGCTGAAAGTCTAACCCAAACAGCTGACCTGCAGCCTAACACAGCACGCGCAGCACAGTTGCGGTTACTACATGCGTAGGAACATGGAAGTTCTATGGGTGAGAAAATCTAGCACCAAAGGAAAGGGCTGTCTGATGGCCAGGTAAAGCAGTGAAAGTATTGTCAATGTAGCGTCCACTTAAACTGATACTGATTTTTTTTTCCGGTGAGCTTTTGATAAGGTGGCTAAATTAATTTTTCTGCTACTCCACAAAGTACTCCTGCCTGCCTCTCCAAACTGGAGGCATACTGGGCCGCCATCTATTTAAGGTCAGAGGTGACATTAAGTCATTGTTTTTGAGTCTCAAGTCTTTGCACTCAAGTCCAAAGTAAGTCCCAAGTCAAGACTGACAAGCTGCAAGTCCTAAAGTTTGAGTTGAATGCTAAACAAGTCATACTGGACTCTTAAACTAATTCATTTCATT